AAGTTTCACCTAAAATATTATTTTGATCGAAATAAAAATCTTAAAAACGTTTCCTAATAATTAGTAAAACACAATGAATGTAAAATATATTTTTAAGTTTATTTTTTTCAACTAAAAAGACATCATATGTGAAACCTATTATAAAATCTAAATACCTTCTACTAACGACCAGAGGAAGTACTTTAATGCTTGTTTGACCAACAATTTATTTTACCTTTTGTCTCATTTTACCTCTTAAACACAAAATCTAATTCAAACAATATTTTAACTTACTTTTTAAAAAAATATTACAAAAATTATTTTTACACAATTTTCATTCACCACCGCCTGCCATCGTCGGACCGTTCCTTGTCGCCGGCAGACCGCCGTCGGTCGGCAAGTTGGTCGGAATTTGGCCTGGACGACAGTCCAGCGGCGGGGGTAGGTATTAGAGATGACCGGTGGTGGTAAAATAATAATATTATTTTAATTAAAAACTATCCAAACAACTTTTTGAATTTTCTCTCAAAACACATTTTAAATCACATCTCAAAACCAAACCAAAAACTAAACTAAAAGGCAAAATAAGAGTTGGCCAAACAAGACCAGTACCAACCTTACTATAACGCTTTTACTTTGCTTTAGAAAATACTCCTTCCGTCCTACAAAAATTATCCAGTTTCAAAATGTACAATTTTTTTAATTTATTCAATGATAATTTTCTCACAAAAATAGTCCAGTTTCAAAATGTACAATTTTTTTAATTTAGTCAATGATAACAAGGTACAACTCATTTTATTCTCTAACTTTCCATTCTTACCCCTGTTTGAAAATTTATTTTAAGTGTCAAATTATAAAACTAATAATCACCGGAATTTCACTCCTCTTACTTTTCTCTCTCTCATTGTCACCGGAGACCAGCATCGTCCTCCGCTTCCCCATTATAAGCCTACCAAAAATTGGAACAAATCAGACGAATCGGAAAAGAACCAAACCTCGGTTGAACTTGGAGAGCGAAGAGTGAGACAAAGGGAGGCCGGCCCTATGATAATTTCAGGGAAGAGACAACGGCTGCAACGCCGCCGGCATACCTCACCGGATATTGCTCAATATATCATGAGATTAGCCTTTTTCTATCAGATCGGCCCACATCAAAGCCCATAAGATGGAAAGCACCAATCCCCAAGCGCTAAGATGAGGAAAAGAAAGGTTTTTCCGCCAGAATTTGCTAAAAATTTGGCTTGCAAGGTTTTTTGGGGTATAGGTGTTTTGAAAGAGGGGAAATATTATCGTTCCTCCTCGAATGCTATCGGCGGATTTGGTTGACTAACACATAGCCGGCAGAAGTGAAAGTTCTATCGATTGAATCTATTTCTCAGAATGGGTAGTTAAGTCATTTCATCTGTTTTAATTTTGACGTTTACGAAACTAAACTATTTTTTTAGGACAAGATTTTTTTTATCAAGCTGAATTATTTTTGTGGAACGAATGTAGTTTTTCTTTTCTGGGAAACTGGGACCATCAAATACTATTGTTTACGCTGCTTATATGTTGGAAACGAAATGACACAATTAAACGTGCATGTTCATTTATGAACCCTAATATTTTTACACCATATGTCTATGCAATCGGTCTAGTCTTGAAATGCCAAATATATTTTGATTGGACAAAATTGGGATAATCAACTCCGCGTTCTCCGTCCGGTGGACGATGACCCAATATTCATGTTATCTCTTCTTTACTGATTTTGAAGAAATATGTTAGAGATCTGAGCTTTCATGGCTTATCTTGGGAGTGAACCCCTATGACTTAATTGGTGTATGGAGATTTGAAGAGCATACTTCTTATTTTTGCTACTAATTAGGACGAAAAAAAAGTATTGCTAAACACCGATTCATTTTACTTCACGTGACTTATTAAAAATACAAAAAAACCCTCTTTATAGATACGTAAAATACTAACATAAAATTTAATATTACACGTAATTAGGTTTAAATGATATATATATATATATATATTAGTGATGTCTGGTCGCGCATTGGCCCAATATATCTGTAGATCTTAGAATAGTTTGTATCTGGAAAAAAAATATTTTGTATTTAGCCCGATATATTTTAGAAATATTTAAAAATTTTAGAAATGTTTTATAAGTATGATGTTTGCATTTGGAAAAAAAAATAAATTGTATTTGGTCCGGTACGTTTTAGAAATGTTTGAAGATTTTAGAAATGATTTATAAGTGTTACTTCTTAAATATAAATAAACTTGATCAAATATATGTCTTGAAGTAAATGATAGACAAAATATAAAAGTATCCTAATAAATTTAAATATTAGTAAGATAATTTATTGATGTTCTCCATTGGTTGTGCCAAATCAATAATTAGATTTGGAGATTATAATAGCTTTGTAGTTAGCTTCCTCCAAAGGGTATACGCTTAATTGTTAGAACTATTTTTTCCAAAAGTTTATAGGTAGTAAAATATCAAAAATATGATTTTGAAACTGGTTAATTGTTGAAACTGGTTGATCACAAATATGAGAATGAAAATAATTGTAAATTTGCATAGGTTTCAAGGTATAGCAAAAAAGAACTCACCTCACCATGACAAATAACAAAAAAGAAGTAAAAGATAGCCCATTAAAATTTGAGAGTTTTTATTTTTTTTCTGTAGGTAAAAATGATGTATAAAAATACAAATAAACGTAGAACATCATTCCTACCCTCTCCATCTCAAATTCATAAAAGGATTCCCCATAAATTAGTTAAAAGAAGTAACCTGAACTATTTATATGATGAGGAACTAAAAAAAGTCCAAAAACCAAATCCAAAAAAGTATATTCTTGAAACCCCAAACACAAAAAAAAAAAAAAAAACGTGCTTCATTTGCAAATAAAATAATAATAATAATAATAATAATAATAATAATAATAATAATAATAATAATAATTGGTCAACTGGGAGTATGAAACAAAATCAAAAGAAATTAAACAAAGAAAAAACACACTTCATAATTGGCCTTATACGAAAAAAACCCTGAGACTGCATAATTAAAAAAAAGAAAACCACTATAATTGAATGAAACATAAAAAACAAATTTAAAAAATCACACTTTGTAACAAAAATCCAATCAATCAACCAATCCAAACATAACTAAAATCATACAAAAATTCTAGGCTAACTAACCAAATAAGAAATCACATCATACTACCTGACAACGGCTACGGTAGCTGTAACGGATGGACGCATAAAAATAATAGTAATAACACTATTCTTGAACGGGAAAAACAAAAAAATAATAAAAGCCAAACCAATGATCTGTGGAAATAAACTCATTTAAATTTTAATACCTGTAATGGCACCACCACAACGGCCGAAGCAAGATCAATGAGATTTTTTTTCCCCTTTGTGTTTATATAGAGAGGTAAAGAAAATATTTTTTGAAGTTGAAATTTTATCCGATTAAGATGTAGTTGATCATCACTAATGAAAAGATTGAACATGCTAATAGGAAAGGAGTATATTTCACCACATATTCTCAATTGATGATTGATGAGGATTTGTTTTTTTTTTTTAATTGTGGAGAATGGATTGATTAAGGAGTCGATTGTCGTGGAGATGCGGATGAGGATTTGGGGTTTTTATGAACCAGTGGTTTTTTTTTTTTTTTTGTTTGTTTTGACGGAAATAGTGGAAGTGAATTTAGACTACATTTGCATTTTAAATTTAAGAGATGTGGAACTAAAAATTTATTTAAAAATATGATATGGAAATGCCACATTGCAAATGGTAGTGATTTCTCTTAAGTGTGGTTTTTGTTTCTAATAGTAAGATGTAACAATTATGATATTATTAACGTAAAAATAAATAATATTCATGCAATATTTTTATCCATCATCACCAGAAAACTTATTGTCATCGATGGATCACGACCCGCCGTCGACGGACTGGGAGTGATTCGGCGTTGGCAATATATGTTCAAGAAGTGATGGATAAATTAAATATTTTATTCAAAAATTTGTTCATACAATTTCTCAAACTCTCATATAAAACACCTTTAAATTGTACCAAAAAAAAGAAACCCTTTATATCTACATTTGAAATGAAATAAAAAGAAAAACGTTGTTCATGTTATTTCATTATATGTATGATTTCTTTTTTACATTGGAAATAAGATTATGTTATCTTCATTCTTGGAAATTGGAACGCATTATAATATATTAAAAATGTAAATTTCAAATGAAAAGAGACTATTCCTTGTTTTCATTCGTCTTGGCCTGGAGATACTTGTCGTTAACTATTCATTTTCATCTCCTTTTTTTCCGCAAGAGGAGTAGTACCCATCAGGAGATATACATGTATACATTTTCTTCTTTACTCGATCGTTCCTCATTTTCTCTTCATTATCATGGGCTACATAACTCGCCTCCTTAATTAATGGTAGTTATGTGTATGTAGTTGGTACTTTTAAATGTAACGAATTTATTCAGAGAAAAATAAATACCTTGTCTAGATTTTTTTTTTTTTTTACCTGGGAAATTTTTGTTTTAAAAAAAAAGCATTATTATTACTCCAATCATCTTGAAACTTTTGTCATTCGGAATAGGACTAAGCTCAAACTAAATTTACGTACGTAACGTAACCAATTTATTTGGGGATGATCTTGACAATTATGAGGTCTGATATATTACTGCCACTAGATTTTTATGTATTTTTGCAAATTTTATAAATTAATCTGTACTCCTATTAGAAGTTAATTTAGTACTAAATGAAATGTTATGATCTTATAAATGTTCAACTAAATATTGCGCCTAGGACCACTTGACAACTACCATTCAATAATATCAAATCTGAATCTTAAGTTACAGGATTGAAGTCCTGGAGGACCTGGACCATTTTATAGATTCATTTTCAATTGATTTAAACTCATTACCTACAATTGTGATCACAATTCATAATCAATACTTTAAACCACTTTAAGTTTCTTTAAGTTACCCAATGTAAATGAATCCTTTCCTCCACATTAGGTTGTGTGTGTGTGTGTGTTTCTTTCTCTCATTCCCTTCCCTCCCCCTCCCCCCCCTTTTTTTCCTTTTTGGTTGCCCCTCTCTCTTTTTTGGGTTTTAGCAGCTTATGATAGTGCAAACACAATGATTTTGAATACTCCATCCTATTTTCCTCCATATTAGTTGAAAATTGGATTATAAGTTAGAAGAAATTAAATAAAAATTTTAATGCATTTTGTATTTTCATTATTCCAATTATAGATTCAGTACGATAAACACGAAAATAATTTAGAAACGGAAAAAGTACTAGGACTATGCTAAATACTAGAGGGGAGGAGGCACTGAAGCCAAAGAAATGGTGGATCAATGAGGAGACAGAAAGTGAGGATTCTTCTTCTATTTGGGTTTTTGGTTCCATGGCTGACTGCTCTTTTGGAAGCACAAAAAGCTTAGCACAAAGCTCAGTCCTAAAACCCCAAATAGAAAAAGATTACAATACCTTAATGTCACTTCCAAGACAATGGGCTCCAGAAAAAGTCGCATTGACCTTTAGAAATTTCTTATAAAATCAACTTCCACATTTCCTATTCCTCCCAATAGTACTAAAAATTGTCTATATCCTATGCTTTTTTTCCTGATTTTACTTGAGCCTAGCCGGCTATACCATGATTTTGACTTTGAGCACTTATAGCCTTTTTTGTCCTGAACTGATCTGAGAAACTCAAACTCGTATGAAAACAAGGAAATGGAATTGGAATGGAAGAAATCAGGGAAGAATGTGGTCAGAAAATGGGTAGAAAAATGACAAAGGAAAATATGTTACTATATTACTGTTTGAATTAATCCTTATTTTTTAATCAAGGGCTAGCTTAGCTGGGTTGAATGTTGAGTCACAGAAAGAAGATTAATTTAATACTACTACTACTACTTTACAGTAATATCAGTAGAGATGTGATTTTCTTAATTAGGTGACTTAAATGTATACATTGGAGTTGGTGCAATCTTGCTTCTTCCAAGTCAACCAAAAAGGCTTACTTTGCATTTGGTGAATGAATTCCTCAAAGAGACATCTGTTATCACTGCAATATTTTCTATTATACCATTACAACCAGTGTGTGACACATCTATCAACTAATTCAGATTCAATTCGGGTTGACATCTTTGAAGATTCGAAGTTTCCTCAGTACGTAATTTAATGTTTCTTTTGTTTCAAAATTACTTTACAGTTTGAAATTTTACTTTTAGTGTAATTTGAACTAAAAATGAAAATACAAACTAGATAATAATTTCGGACAGGAAAGAGTATCGTTTGTTATTTGTCTTATAAGGATGAGCTTTAATCATAATTAACATAATCCAATTCCTTTAACATCCAAGTATTTGTTGGGGTTACTCACTCAAATGTTTAAGTGAACAATTTTTTTAACAATTTCTTGTTACTAACTATGAATGACCAGAAGGAAAAAAGAAGTGTTTTTTAGTCCATTTTGGATCCAAAGCGTATTAAATGGTTGTTGCTGTGCTGTTTGATTTATTGCGCAATTTAAAAGCCACCTTCTCTGCATGACATTTACTTCTACTTCAACCAATTTTTCTTTCCTCTCTCTCCGTTTCTGGTTCTGTTTCTCTCTCTCTCTCTCCCTCCCTAATCTCTATAACCAAAAATTTGACTTTTGCAGATCCACTGCTATAGTTGGAGTAAAACAAACTGTGGAGTTTCTGAAAGTCATTTTCAGAAGGACTTCTTACATCATAAAAAACAACAATTTTTTTTTTTTGATTGATTGTTTTCAAGTATTCAAACATTTTTTCTTGTGTAAGATTCTTGAATTATTTGGTGAGGTTTCTGCATGTGGGTTTAAGTCTTGTCAGGGGGAAAGATTTTTGGTGCATCTTATTACATGATTGAAGTATTAAAGTTCCAATCTTGATGACTTATCTCCAACCAAATTTCTCCGAGAAAGAAATGGTTCTTCAGCAGGGGAAAAGGTCCATTTCTCCGTCGCAGCCGCCGCCGTACTTTGTTCATCAGCCACCGCCTCCACCACCTCCACCGCCTTCTTCTTCCGGTGTCCAAACTGGTGGGTTCAATTTGAACAGTAAGGTTAGCCCAAGTGTACTGCTGATCATAATCATTCTAGCCATTATCTTCTTTGTGTCTGGATTGCTTCATCTTTTGGTTAGATATCTTTTGAGACCCCCAAGGAGGGATCCTGATGAAATAGACACTGTAACTGCTCTTCAAGGTCAGTTGCAGCAACTTTTCCACCTCCATGATGCTGGTGTTGATCAGTCCTTCATTGACACACTTCCTATCTTCAATTACAAAGCAATCATTGGTGTGAAAAGCCCTTTTGATTGTGCTGTCTGCTTGTCTGAATTCGAAGCTGAAGATAAACTTAGGCTGCTGCCAAAATGTAGCCATGCTTTTCACATGGAATGCATTGATACTTGGTTGCTGTCACATTCAACTTGCCCTCTTTGTAGAGCTAGTTTGATCCCTGATTTCTCATCCAACCGCCATTGTTCTCCAATTGTGTTGGTTCTTGAATCTGGAAGTGAGAGCTCCAGAGAAATCATACCAGATAGAGAAGGTGGTTTAGGCAACACAAATTCAGTGGCTAGAGTGAGTTCTCATCTCAGTACTTCCAGATGTGAAGATGAATCCAGGCTGCCTAATTCGGGTTTGTTGCTCCAAAAATCTTGTGAAATTCAAGTCAAAGAAGATGATAATCAACAACAACAACAAAATATTGTTGTGGGTTCAGGGGAAAAAGTTCTTCCTGTAAAACTTGGCAAGTTCAGGAATGTAGATGGAGGAGGAGGAGCTGGAGGGGAAGGAAGCAGCACAACTAATAATGTTGATTCAAGAAGATGTTTCTCCATGGGATCTTTTGCTTACATTATGGATGAGAATTCAGCTTTACAAGTTCCAATTAGGACTCCAATAAAGAAACAATCCAGTAAGAAACCAGCTCTGCCATTGAATCCAGGGCATAGATACGCAATGTCTGAATGCGGCGGAGGCGATTCAAGAAGGGATTTTGCAAACTTTGAAGCATTCAGAAATGGCGAGTTTCTCCAATGCAGCAATAATTCGGGTGGCATTGCTTATTCAGGCAATCTCTGCAGTAATGTAAATGACAGTAATAAGTCAATTGGGAGCAGCAGAGGAGAGAGCTTTTCATTCTCCAAAATTTGGCTCAGGGGGAAGAAGGATAAGGCTCATAATCACATTACAGATACAGAGCAGCCACCATCAAGAAGGGCATTCTCATTCAGGTTCCCAATGCAGCAGCATAATGTGATTGCAGAAGAAGATGATGTGAAGCATAATAAGAAGATTATTAATGGTGGGAGGAGGACCATTTCAGAGATTGATATTGGGAGGTGGGCAAATGGAGGGATTGAAAACAGCAGTGAATTGGATGCTCAGAGCTTGAACAGTTTGGATTCTCAATCAAATCATCCTTCATTTGCAAGGAAAACACTTCTGTGGCTGATGGGAAGGCAACAGAACAAGGTGGTTCATTCACAATTTTCATCCCAATTAGTTTAGTAGATAGCCCTCTTTTATTTGTTATCATTTGTTGTTGTTTTTTCTTCTTTTGTGGATTATTTCTTGGATATAGTTGTTCTTTGAAGGGAGATAAAATTAGAGATAGCTGTGAAAGAGGTCTTCTCATACAGATGGCTGCAATTTTATTTTATTTTTTTTCCACAGCATATTCAAGCAGCTAGCTAGTTGATTGATTGATTCTTCCACATAATTTTTAGTTTCAGAACATTTTTTTTTTTTTTGGGCTTGCTCTAACTTTGTTTATCAGATACTAATCAACAAAAAACTATTTAAATGGAAAGAAGGAAATAATCACTACTTACTGCGCATTTAAGCTTCACAATTCACATCAAAATTTAGTGCGTTAAGTGTGTTCTTTTGGTTGCTTTTCTTTCTTTACTCCGTTCGCCAAAAAATAATCATCCTATTTGTTGTCTTATTTTAGTTCAACTAATACGAAGATCATTTTAGGTCAAGAATTTCTCTCTCTGTTTTTTTTGGTAAGTGTAGCTTTTTACGTCCTTTAGGACTCAAATTCCTTGTTCTAGAAGGTCAGCCAAACATTGAAGTAAAGCCACTCCCTAAACTACTAGGGTTTCTACTCTTTCTTTCTAATAAGGTCAGATCAGATTATAGAATTACACAAATTTGTACTGTCTTAGAAGAACGGTCAGGTCAGTTAGAAGTACTAAAATAACACTAATTGTTCTTTCGTAGAAGGTCCGGTCAGATATGGAAGTTAAAATAAAAACTAATCAAAATTTTTACTTCCTTTTGAATGTCAACTCAAATAAATTTAGAAGTAAAAATCCGGAGCCGCCCCAATTTCAGAAATGAGTTCGCTAAACATCGAATGAATGGTTCAGTTTATTAAGAATCTCAGTCCCACATCGGTATTGGGAGAGACATGATATCACTATATAAGTAAATAGGCCACTCTCTTTCATAGCCAAGTGTTTTTGACGTGGAACCTCACAGGCTTCCTTACGGTTATGGGAAATGAATACTCTGTAAATATCCAAAAGAATAGGCTTCCCCCGATTTGCCTTCGATTTTCTTTCAAGGTAAGTTTGCGCCTCAACCAACTGTTTGTATGGTGTAACTAGTTACATTTTTCATTTGGGCCCATAAATTTTAGTTTTAGCCTGACAGAATTCACGAATAATGCTAAGTGAAGACAATTCTGCAGATTATTATGTGACAAATAGATAAAGACAATTTTTTCTCTTATGTTTTTTTTTTTTTGGGTTTTCCTAAAAAAGCAGCATCCATTATCTGTGTAGTACTGTTTATATGGTCGGCATTTGAAGGTTTTGCATTTTGCAAGCTATTATTAATGAAGTGAGCGTAATCAGTTTTAGACGTGTCAGAGAGTCGGGCACAGTATTGATCAGTCGGCGAAATGATGAGTTCTTGTATGAGAAATTTTTAAATTTCAATCATTAATTAATCGGATCGTTACACTTTTTAAAAAATAGATTTTACAAACACCGTTATATATAAATTATTATTACTATCGACAAACTCAATGCCAACCATCGATTCCGCGGTTGTAACTTGAAAGTTGAAATGGACCGTTAGGAAAAATTGTCCGATCTACCTTAAGTTTTATCCTCATTGTCAATTTTATCCTAATCTTTTTCAATTAGTTTATTTTATCCGTAATTATCACAACTTTCGTCAATTCGTCCTTTTTACCCAATCTCCGTCCAAATTAACGGTTTTCACGTTTTTCCGTCAAATAGGCCATTATTTTATTATAAAAAATTAAACTGGGCCCTTAAAGAATCAGATTTATTTCTTAATCACTTTTGACTTAAACCTAATTATGTTGGGTCAAAGTGGAGGGAAATTTCTCCCAAAAAAATTTATGGGCCCCACATGACCCAAAAAAATTCCTACTTTATAAAAGATCAAACCCCTTATTTCACACTGATTCCACACTGATTTCAACTGGAATTTTTTTTTTCTTCTCCACTTTTTTCTCTCTATCGTGAATCAACAGAGCATGGCACAATTGTGCAATTGTGGAAGCCCTGCAGCACTTCGCACTTGTTAGAGAGACAACAACTTGTGCAGAAGGTTTTTGGCATGTCCTCATTGTCCAGATCCTGAGGTGTGCAATTTTTTTGTGTGGCAAGATCCCCAGTTGGAGGTCAGAGGACGGGTGATCATCCAAGATCTGCTTAGGAGGATAAATAACAGTAAGGATAGGGAGAACATCTTAGAAACCGAAAATCTAAGATTGCAAAGGCGTGAGCGGCGAATTTGGTTTTATGTTGCTGCTACTGCCATTGTGGTGGTGTGTATGTGTTTGATGAGGAACTAGGTTCTTCATAGCAATTATCAAGACCAGTACTTTATTCAAAAAAAAAATAAAAATCAAGAGCAATACTGTCCTGTATCTTCAGTAGGTTATCTAGGTAGTAATATTTTTCTTTATGTTGGGTGATGATAAGAAGTAAGCACTTGGTTTTCCCTTGTACTCTCTTGTCATTTTTGAATTCTGGAATGGAAAGTGTTTCTATATACTTTTGAATGCATTTGAATTTGATTGTGTTGGGTTGGGAATATGTTAAAAGGCCAGTTCATGGACAGCATTGGCCATATTGGTCAAATATTTAGGACAAAATTGGCCAAAAATATCAAACTGTTGGGTAAAATTAGCGAAATTTGTGAAACATGTTAGACAACATTAGCCAAATAATTGGTTAAACCAAGCATCACTTCACATCTTCTAATCTTCACTGTTGGTGTAAAATATAAAGAAACCTTAAATAAAGAAGCATTTGAATGCAAGGTGAAAATAGTTTCATATATTAATAATCTTGGCTATCAAGCACATATGAATACCTTACACAGTTCAAGGCATGTTGTGCAACAAAAAAAACAAGTGATTCCCAAAGCAAAAGGTGCTAAGGTCTAAACAAAAGTACTACTTTCAACCTGCAACCTTGCAGTAGTAAATATTCTAGTAAAATAGGAAGACAACCAAATTATTGAATTACATCACTTGACATGTGACTCTTCTTCTCATCCTTCTCTGCTGCATTATTTGAGGAAGATCCGTTAACAGGCTTAGTGCCGAAATTTCCATCAAAATGGCTACTTTTGACAGTGTTACGATAAGAGCCTCGATACAAGTCATAAAGAGCTTTTGAACTTTTCACTTGTGGAACATCAGGGATCAAATTCTCCACTGTTGACATTAGTTGCTCAAATGTGGCCAATGCATCCGCAACAAAATTCTTATCATTGACACTTTCTGGTGGTTTAAGGGCTGAAGAAGGTGCAACCATATGTCCAAAAGCTTCCACAAAACTCGATTTACTGTGAATGTTGTCTGTGGTTGGATCTTCATCAATATTCTCATCAACCAGTTTGAAGGGAGCTTGTGAACTTGATGTCCGTTGAATTCGTCCTTTTTCAGATTTGCGAACCTTTTTTTCAGGTTGAGATAAACTAGCAGCCTGTCAATATTATGAGCCTTCACATAATAAGTATTCAAACTATCTTTTTCTAATTCTACTGAAATAAAGTAACATAACTAGTATATATATTCACCATAAAAAAAAAATTGAAATTCTTAACAAACCTTGAATTTTCTCTTTTTTGTTTTCAGTGGAGGATTTGTCTCAACATCAGTCTGTCCAGGTAGTTTACCTGTTTCCCTAGGAATTATAAATACCGGGACTTTTTCCCGATTAGCCTTGTTAGATCTCTTTGGTGGATCACGTCCCACATGTATCATCGGTCTACGCTGCTCATCAGAATACTGCAACACCACAACATCATGTTCTAACATCTGTTTTTTTCCCTGTCACATGTTTAGAAAAACAGTCATTTGCAGGCTTCTCAATAAACCAATACCTTAGCCAAATGAAACTTAACTCATCATACCTCTGGTTTAAGCTGCTCAATGTTGTCACGCAATATATCAGCTACGTGCTTATTAAATCCAACCTGCAAACATCATCATGTTAGTAGGATTGTGTACAATTTTAAGTAATTATATTATTGTATCAACTATACAGTACCTCAGTTTCTTTTTCTAAGCCAATGTCCTCACACACCTCAACATGAACATCTGCAAGGCTATCTAGACAACCCTCCATTGAACTCACTTGAGCATCCAAATGGACCTCAGTACAGTGGAATCAATCAGCAACATGGACTTCTGTTGACAAGTTCTCCCTTGCACCATTTTCAGAAGCAACACCCAGATCACCTTTAGGTTTCGCTTTGCATGACCTGACATTGTGGCCCTTTGTGTCGCATCTGCTGCAATGATTTCTTTGACCTTTTCTAGATAGTCTTTGTTTTTTATTTTCCTGAATGACTGTTATTTTAGTAGTAGATCTTCTCCTTTTTGTAGTAGGCCTTCCTTTCACCTTCCGTTTAACAGGAGCTAATATAGGAGGCTCTACGACCTTGTCCCATTCCCAATCTATTTTATCTCTCAAAGGATAGATAAAAGGTTCATAACACCTTTTATATACTTCAACAGAATAGCAGTTATCAATAAAAACAATAGGGTCTTGTTTTATAGACCATATAGCAGAAATTCCATGTATACATGGAATACCTGTGAGCTGCCACTTTCTACAGCTACATTCTCTTGCAGCAAGGTCAACTGCATACTTGCCATCATCTGGATGGTCAACCTCTACATGAGTAGTTGATGAGGGAGCTGCGGTGCATTCAGTTGCTAACTTTTGGTATCCTAAAAGCCTCTTGAAAATTCTTGGACAAACCACCTTGTTGTTCTATTTCTCATTTGCCATTGTTCTATTCTCATACATTCTTATGGTGGTGTACTTCCTCATTCCCTCCATAAGTCCAATGATAGGTTTTGCTCTTGCCTCGAGAATTTTTCCATTCAAAGACTCACAGTTATTGTTGAGTAGAATATCACAGTTACATTTAAATAGAAAAAATGCCCTGCACCACTGATTCCTAGGCATGTTGCTTAACCAGGTATATGCATCCTCAGATATTGTCCTCATCTCCTCCATTTCTTTCTTCCAGTGCCCCTTAGTGGTTGCCTTTGCCGCTGCCCAGAGTGCTTTCCTAAATGCATGTCCCCCATGCCCATGGTCTAGAAAATTTGCATGCAAATGCTTCACACAAAATCGATAGTTGGCTTGAGGAAATTCAAGTTCTGCTGTTTTGATCAGGCTTTTTTGCTTGTCACTCATTAAGGTCCACTGATCAGTGTCTTCTTTCTCGATTCTAAGATCACGTCTTAAGAGATCCATAAACCATCCCCAGGATGATGTGTCCTCGACTTCAACCACTGCCCATGCTATTGGATAAATTCCATTGTTGGGATCAACACCAACAGCAGTGAGCAAAACTCCTTTCTGAGGACCCTTCAAGAATGTGCCATCCAATCCAATAAACTTCCTGCAACCAGCTAAAAAGCCATCTCTGACTGCTGCAAAACAAATGTACAGTCTCTGAAATCTTTGTTGACCTGTTGAGGGGTGTGTCCAGCCATCCAAGGGTTTAAGAACCACGGAACTTCCAGGGTTACATCGAAGGAGCTCATGACAGTAACATCTTAGCTTATTGAACCGGTCTTCTATACTACCAAACACCAGTTGGAATGCCTTCTTTCTGGCTTTATATGATTGATCCTTGGACATGTCAATGCTGTATCGTTCCTTCACACTCTTTTTGAATTCCCGAGGTGTTATATTGGGCTTTTCCTTAATGAGCTCTGCTGCCCTCAGTGCTATCCAACTACTAGTCATACACGGGTTGTTCTTCACCCAAGTGCAGCTGTGTTTCGGAGCAAACCTGGTAACCCTAATAGTCCCATCCGAACATCTCCCTACATAAATCTTCCAACTGCATTTTCGATCAGGACACTTGGCACTAACCCTTTCTTTTTCAATTTTCTTAAAACCTCCACTGAAAACCCCTTATACTGTTCCATGTCCTGATAACATGTGTTGCCTGTTCCAAGCTATTGAATGCAAGACCACACTTCAAGGGTGGATCCCACATGTCTTTCACTGGATCAAATTGTTGTAGAGCAGGCTCGGCTTCTTCATCAGACTCATGCAATGGTTCAAAATCATCATCAGAATCTGGTATGGCTCTATTCACATCTCTTAGTTGACCACCAGCAACTTCATCTTCACTTTCCTCTGTATCCCCAGCCCCTGTGTGTGTGAACTCTATATCCCCAGTTTGAAGACATATCCTTGGACCATGCTGCTGATTTTTTCTACTACTTGCAACAAGTGTTTTCTTGATTGTAGGCTTTACCACACTTGCAGGACCTTCACTATAACCATTTTCACCACCCCAGGTTGCTTCACTTTCGTCAACATTCTCTTCATAATCTTGATCATCATATTCTGAATCGTATTCAGAATCCTTATCACTCCAATCTTTGTTATCTTCATCACTCTCATCATCATCACCATCATTATCTGACTCTTCATTCTCACATACATCAGCATTGTTTAACCCCTCAGTGTCACTTATATGACCAGCATTGTTCAAGTCATTACCTTCATTGCCCTCGGTACCATGTTCATCTGCAACCTCAACTTCTAAAGTGTACAACTCCATCCATCTATCACCGGCAAGTGCCTCTCCACGCGCTTCCATGAGTTCCCAATCATCCGATACACTCTTCACCACATTATCTTCATTTATATGGAAGAACTTGGCTTTATTCGCCAATCTACTTGTTTTTGCCATCATAACCAGGTCTTCAAAGTCTAGCTTTTCCAAATCAACATTATCAAAAAAACTATATTCTCCTCCACAATAAATAGGGGATGGTGTATATATCATTTCACTACCATAATGCATCTGAATGCTTCCCATAGGCGTAACAGGATCCGTGGTAAGGTAAAGGACAACAATGAGGACTCTAAACCCTAAAAAAATTGAACTGAAAACTGCATTGTGCACAATAAGAAAACCGCAATCGAGGGACCGAAATTTAACTAGAAAACACATGCATACAATCGGAATTTGGGACCACGAAAATCAAAATCGAGGTTAAGCCCTAAGAAAATTGATTAACAAATAATTACAACCAATTATTTTACAAGTTCATCCATCAGTAATGGAACCCACATGTATCATAATAAAGGGACATTCTTTCCCGAATCCCATTTTTGCAGCAGGAACGAAAGAAACAAAATCCCCTTTTTCCGAATCCCCTTTATGCAAATTGACACTTAAAGTCACAATTTTTTTTAAAAATATACTCACCATACTGAGGTGGAGGCTCATTGTTCTTCTCTTTTAGCCGTGGATCCAGCATCTCGACTGCCGATATTGCTACAATGCCTCTCCTCTCGCCGACAATTTCTTTTTATCTATTAGTTTCCCCGTTTTTTTGCTCTGAAAGTCACGAATCTGAGTTTTCGGATTTTTCGAAAATGGAATGTTTTTCACTTTTTTTTTTTTTTTCAGAATGAAGGACTTTGTTTCGTCGTTCCAGTTTTCCCTTTTCAAGAAAAGAAAAAAAATCCAAAATTCCAAAAATTGACTTTTGGGAATTTTTTTGGGCCATGTGGGGCCCACAAATTTTTTGGAGGAAAATTTCCCTCCACTTTGACCCAACATAATTAGGTTTAAGTTAAAAGTGATTAAAGAATAAATCTGATTCTTTAAGGGCCCAGTTTAATTTTTTTATAATAAAATAATGGCCCATTTGACGGAAAAATGTGAAAACCGTTAATTTGGACGGAAATTGGGCAAAAATGACGAATTGACGAAAGTTGTGATAGCTACGGGTAAAATAAGCTAATTGAAAAAGATTAGGATAAAATTGATAATGAGGGTAAGCTTAGGGTAGATCGGACAATTTTTCCTGGACCGTTACATTTGTAAATTTTACGGAAGTGGAAACTCTTACCATGTAGAAGAAGAAAGAACAAGTCCTCCATATAAGTTTAAATCATAATCTAACAAATAAAATACTCTCTTGTTCCAAAATTATTGTCTAGTTTGAAATTTCAATTTTAGTATAATTTGAACTAGAAATGAAAACCCAAACTGGACAATAATTATGAGACGGAGGGAGTATTTATTTTTTAACAGATGAAGTATATGATTATAACCATTTGTACTTCCTCAGCAGTCCACACTGGACAAAAATTATGAGTTTGTTGAATGAAAATATTATGAAATCAAAAAAATTTTATTTTGAGACGAAAGAGTAATTATTACTTTAAAGTCGTTGAAAAATAACTAGATGTTGATGTAATTTCCTTTTTAAAAAATTAAAAATTCCCTGACTTTGGTCAAATAAAATAGGAGTTCTCTTTATAATTATCGAAAATTGTCACCACCATTACATACCGTCGACAGAATGGATAGGTAATGCATATACCTGGGTGCTATTAAATCATATAAAAATTTATAAAATTAAAAAGGGAGCTTGACTATACTTACCCGTCCCCTTGGCTTTGTCACCTTTCTGTACGAAGATAAACTAGGAAAATCTTCCCAAGAGTAGGTGCAGTTGTGCAAATAATCAAAGTTAGCTAGAGAAGAGAATTCAATTATTCAAATTCAAATTTAGCTTATAGTTGTCCAACTAATTAATTAATTATTACTACTTCCTTCTAGTAGCTATATCTATTAGTACTCTGGCCTCTCATTAATTTTGGATAATTTGTGTTTTTGTTGCCACCAACAAAGCTTTAATTACAACAACAACAAGATTAATCAACTAAGAACATGGAATGTTCACAAAGTTGTTAATATAACATTAAATGGGACAACATGATGAATGGGGCTATGAACTACAGTAACACTGGGCTAGGGGATTTGAATTCTCATTAATGGCTGATGTTAATATGGTCACGAGAACAGTTGAGGGTCTCTTGTCCATTTTTTCTTTATTTTTTTTTTTGTTTTTTAATGGGTGACCTAACTCCACAGCACTGCAATTTTGTAGTAGTACTCTACACAATTCATACATCATTTCATTTAATTAGAAAAATTCCATCAATTTGTTCCTTTCTTCCTATTGTTGTCGGCATCACTTTCTGTTTCTTCATAGTTATCCTTATTTATTAAACGCTTTATATTTATCATCATTTTAGTGAGTCTTTGAAATTATCACTTTTAACACATAATTGAAACTAATATCGACCATTCTGACGTGTATATAAGAAATGAATGAAATTTACATAAAATTATAACATTACAAATGAGATCGAATATAATATTATAAAACGACCGATCTTTTGTGACCTAATAACCATACCCAAGGTATCATAAACCACAATAATGAATCATGAATGTCTAGGCTGCATGGTTGTTGCAAAAGCCTTTAAGTTCTTAAGGTTTAAGGATTCATATTTACAAACGCCAACCTCAAACAATAAAGAATGGGGGGCCATGTTCTTTTGTTAGGGTAGCAAATTCGATTATAACCGATGTTTGGAATGTGACAGAGAAAGAGGAACCTCATCTACAACTACAAGGCCAACATTTTCAGCCATTTTCAACACGAGAAAGCAAAAATATATAGCTACAAGCCCAATCCCTAACAACTTATCAAGCCTCATCTTCCTCCTTGTCAACACCACAAGAGACCAAAGTAAGCCCACCATCAAAAACCCAAATGTCTCATAGAGAGAATGGTCTTTAACTATAACATATGAAGATGGATAAACAGACCAGCAAGAGATAGCAAGTGAAATGCCCAACCCAATAATGATGTTGAAAATTGGACCCGCAAAGCAGCCTGAAATTGCTGTTTGGGCTCCACCAGGTCCACCATTTTTGGCCATTGTCAGATTTGACACCAAATCACCTAAGCTATTTCCCCATGCTAGTATGGTTAATCCCATGAAAGAATGACTAATTCCCAGAATGATTCCAATTGAAACTAGCAGAGAAATCAGTTCTTGAGCCAGTATATAAGTCCAAGTGATGCTGAGGAAGAATGCTTCTGTAAGCCATATGAAAGTGTACTTTTTTGGTGGATTGTTCTTGTCACTTGTGCAAAAAAGGATCAAGGCTAAAAGAATGGCTACTGATGCAACAATTGGGAGAAAAACCAGCCATGATTTTTGATAGTGTAAGTTCCATATTGTTGACAAGAGAACAGGAGCTAATGCAGCTGAGACCATTGCAATTGGCCTAGACCATCTTTCCTGACAGATGATTGGGATTGTTAGTTTCCTTGGCAGGTCTAGAGGCAGCTCTAACACGTACCAAAAGTCGTGAAAAATGCACGTTATCGTACCATTTTGTTTAGGAACTTCAGAATCACAGTCATTCACAGAGTCATTGCAAACTAGTAGAGGTGTAGACACAGGCAAACACCAGTTTTCGGATTCTTTTTCGCGCTTTTCGAGAAGCTCTGATGTAAAAATGAAAGCTACATAGATGAAGTACAGACAGAGGAAACAGAGAGCACCCCACAAGTTGATCTTGCCTACAATGATGAACACCAGAAGGCAACATAAGCAGGCCAGCAAGAAAAGGGAATTTCCTATGAAGCTGGATGAACTAACCTTTCTACCCTGATGATCAATACAGATACTAATCACCCCAACCACAACACTGGAAACAAAGAACACACCACCCAAGATGCTGTTTAGGCCAATATCTTTAGTATCTCCATCACCCATGAAGGAAATCACAGTTGCAAGAACATCAGGGGCACCATTTCCTAAAGAAAGAAGGGTTACTCCAGCAATTGTAGGAGAAAGTTTCATAACTCTTGATAGGCCTTCTAGTGAGGTGCAAAAGTATCTGCTTGATGTATCACCAAGAAGGTAGAATAACAGAACTAGCCAAATTGATAGTAAACTGTAACCAAGACTTGGGCTAAATGTGCAATAAAACAGTTGCAAATAACAAATGTAACCTTTAGGCTGACATCCCTGGTGAGATTTCACATACAAGCACTTCCCAAGCCTATCATTGTACCTATGAATTCCTTTACAACTAATGTCTTCTTCCATTGAGATTTTGTATGCATTGATGGATGAATTCTTCCCTTGTGTGATGGAGTTGTTTAAGAAAGCCGAATTCGACGATGAATCGAGGTGGAGCAAGATGCATAGTACCATGAACATGAAGGCCAAATTGAGAAAGACATGGAAAAACTTCCATTTGTGAAGGAAGAGGAACATGGCCATTTTTTTTTTAAAAATTTTTTTTTTTATTAAGAAGCCAGGCAAAATAGCTACTATGTGTTTGGTGGAAGATGTTGAAGATTCTTCCTTTATTATCGAATTCTTCGTATCTCTGACATGACAGAACAATCAAATCAAAGACTATTGTGATGCTGAGAAGATTTCAATAATGCCATGTATCAAACATTTTAGTACATTTTTCTATGATTGACAAAATGTGTGTCCAATTTAATTTTTATCCTTAATTTTTAGATAATACTTTCCCCAGGTGAACACATTTGAAGAGCAAATATGTGGGGTTAGCTGAAGTGAAATTGGATTTCCCCAGTTAGGCCCATATTTAAGTTTGGTGATGGATATAGAACAGAGAAGTTGGATGAAGATGATGAAGTGTAAAAGCAATAATGTGGACGGTTCCAAAATATTTTGGGTTGCTTATATGAGCAAAGCAAATTGATTTTTCATCGGTGTTAAGAGAAAACATTGGGTTCATATATGGATTGATCAAAACCGCATTGATGGACGTCACATCTGTTTTTAGTGTTTTTTATAATATTTTTATTCCGGTCTATGGATGTAAGAATGCGATATTGTTTTAAAAATATTATTATTCAAAAAAAAAATTGAATTAGGAATAGTTACCAAGTTTTTGCTATTTCAGAAAGTAGATAATTGTATAGAAAATGGGATAAAGAGCAAAATCTTCTCGGGGGACAGAATGAAGAATTGCCTTTACAAAAGAAAAGTCTACCAATACCGAAAAATATCTAAATAATTTTCAAAATAAATACTTAAAGTTCTCATAAAATAAAAAAGATACTCCCTTCGCTCCGAAAATATTGTAGAGTTTGATTTTTCTTTTTTATAGTATAAATTGAACTAAAAGTAAAAATTCAAACTGATTAATAATTTTTGGGACAAAAGAAGTATCAATAAAGTACTTGAGCATAAAGAAAACACATAGAATCTGTAATCAGTCCTCGAACTTGCTATGGTAGTGATTCTATTTCTCCCGATAAATCTATTGAGAGGGTTAGAAGAGGGTTGCCACCGGTTATTACTACCATGTGAGTAATCTCACTGGAAGCTAATCTCATATAGGTTAAATGCTTGCAACAATGATGATGCTCGAATGTTACTAATAAATTGTATTGCTTGAATGTTACAGAAACTGCCTCATTATATTTATTTATTTTTTTTTGAGAGTAAAAAGTATTTTATTTAATACTGCTGGAAATCGTCCAGCGGCCTTTGACTGATAGTTTCTGGCAAGTATGGCCAGTTGGTACATTCATCGGAACTATTTTTGGTTAGAGATACAAATTCATGTGCTATCTAATTATTGCAACGATGTATACAAAAAATCCCTAAGGGATGAATCTGGGTGAGTAGCATACAGATTTCCTCCATAACCTGATCCGAGACGACCCCGGTGGAAACAACTGTTGGGGCGTGGACGATGGTATTCAGAACATCGCCACAAACTGAGAACCGTTCCAGATGTTACTTGATGATGACTCACTAATTGATTGAATGTTATAACTTGAGTCTGATTGTTTGAATCAATTGGATTGCACAATTGATTATGTGTCTTGATGACTCACTTGTTCGAATGTATCCCTTGAGTTCGATTGTTTGAATTCATTGAATTGCACAATTGATTATCTGTCTTGATGACTCAGTGCTTGATTGAATGCAATGACTTGAGTTTGATCGTTCGACTTAATTGAATTGTACAATTGAATGGCAGCGAGCCAGCGATGTATTCTTTGATCGAATGTGATGTCTAGTTACTCTAGGCCATGCCAGAAGGTAAGGCATTACCTAAGGCATATAATTGTTGAATTTGAGGGTTTTTTTTAAATATATATTAAAAAAAGAAAAATTGTTGAATTTGAGGTTTTTTTTTAAAAAAAGAAAAATTGCTGAATTTGAGGCTTTTTTGTTATTTCACAAGTTTTCGATATTAAGTTAACTGAACATTGAAGGTAAAATATAATAAGCTCTTTTCTAATTAGAAGAGCCAAAAGTTAGGAGTAATAAACAAAGTAATTTGTTCTAAAAAACATAATAAAAATGACCAAAATACTCCTTAACAAAAAAACATGTGGGTTGGACATAAACTAGCTGTTGTTACTTAATGGCAAAAAGTAACGGAAACACTTGATTTGAATAATTACCTTTAATAGAGATATCTTACTATATTAGAAACAAAAACCACACTTTAGAAAAAGCACCATTATTTGTCATGTGGCATTTCTACATCATATTTTTAAAATAAATTTTTATTTACACATCTCCTAGACTTAAAAGACAAATGCAGTCCAAATTCACATTCACCTCCTATTTGGAAAAAAAAAAAAAAAACCACGTGTTCATAAAAAACCAAAATCCTCATCCCCATCTCCACGACAATCGACTCCCTAATCAATCCCTTCTCCACAATAAAAAAAAACAAATTTCTCATCAAGCATCAATTGAGAATATGTGGTGAAATATACTCCTTTCCTATTAGCATGTTAAATTTTTTCATTGGTGATGACCAACTACATCCTAATCTGATAAAATTTCGAGTTCAAAAAATATTCTCTTTACCTCACTATATAAAACAAAGGAAAAAAAAATTGTCATTGATCTTGCTTCGGCCATTATGGTAGTGCCATTACAGGTATTAAAATTTAAATGATTTTATTTCAGCAGGTCATTTGTTTGGCTTTTATTATTTTTTGTTTTTCCCGTTCAAGAATAGTGTTATTACTATTATTTTAATGCGTTCATCCGTTACAGCTATCGTAGCCGCTCTTAGGTAATATGATGTGATTTCTTATATAGTTAGTTAGCCTATAATTTTTGTATGATTTTAGTTCTGTTTGTATTGAATTGATTAATTGGGTTTTTGTTACAAAGTGTGGTTTTTTAAATTTCTTTTTTATGCTTCATTCAATTAGACTGGTTTTCTTTTTTTAATTATGGAGGCTCAGGTTTTTTTTCGTATATAGTCAGTTATGAAGTGTGTTTTTTTCTTTGTTTAATTGCTTTTGATTTTGTTTCATACTCCCAATGGATCAATTATTATTATTTTATTTTATTTACAAATGAAGTGTTTTTTTTTTGTGTTTAGTCTTTCAAGAATATACTTTTTTGGATTTGGTTTTTGGACTTTTTTAGTTCCTCATCATATAAATAGTTCAGGTCGCTTCTTCTAACTAATTTATGGGGAAGCTTTTTATGAATTTGAGGTGGAGAGGGAAAGAATGATTTTTCTACGTTTATTTGTGTTTTTATACATCATTTTTACCTACAGAAAAAAATAAATTTCTCAATTTTGAATGGGCTATCTTTTACTTTTTTTTAATTTGCCATGGTAAGGTGAGTTCTTTTTTGCTATAACTTGAAACCTATGTAAATTTACATTATTTTCATTCTCATATTTGTGATCAACCAGTTTCAACAATTAACCTCATATTTTTGATATTTTACTACCTATAAACTTTTGGAAGAAATAGTTTCAACAATTAAGCGTATACCCTTTGGAGGAAGCTTACTACAAAGTTATTATAAATCTCTAAAACTAAGTATTGATTTGGTACAACCAATGGAGAACATCAATAAATTATCTTACTAATATTTAAACTTATGAGGATGCTTTTATATTTTGTCTTGCATTTACTTCAAGACATATATTTGATCAAGTTTATTTATATTTTAGATGTAACACTTATAAAATATTTTTAAAATCTTCAAACATTTCTAAAACGTATTGGGCCAAATACAATTTCCTTTTATGCCAAATACAAACATTTCTATGATCACACTTATAAAACATTTATAAATTCTTCAAACATTTCTAAAATATATCGGCCCAAATACAAAATAGTTTTTTTTCCAGATACAAATATTTCTAAAATCTACAGATATATTGGCCCAGGTCATGCATTGCGCGACCAGACATCACTAGTCTATAATGAAAATAAAACTTTAAAATAATTTCTGATGTTATATCATAAAAATTGATGACGCGTTTCATTCTCCAAATTTCCAGGGACTTACGTGACTTTGTATCATTCGGTCTCAGTGCATTTGAATAGATTTCCAATGACACTTTCAATATAACAAATATTTGTTATACTCTTTATATACTACTATATGTAAACAAATATATTAGTTACTTCTAACATTTTGACAAAAAGTTAAGTGATCGTAAACAGATGCATGTTTAATTGGTGCATGCCAATCATTTAGATAGTGCAAACAATTTCATACTAATAGTAATACATAAAAAGTCTTTTTTTTTTTTTCCTAATCAGATGCGGCCTAGATTTCTCATAATACAACTATTTTTTTTTTTTAGGAAAAACAAACTTCATTGAAATTACTAGAAATAGTCCAGCACCATTTGATACAAGAACAGACCGTCTAAAATGACGTAGACGAACCGTCCTAATGACGTACTCACGGTGCTAGTCACTGCACCAGTGACTAGACCAATACAACTGCCAAAAGGGTTAACAATCTTATAATGGTATAATTCTATTGTTGGACATATCATGGAAAGAATAAAATTATGAACTCGAATATATCACTAATCACAGAATGAAGCACAAATTTGTCGTCATTAACGAAAAACAACACACACCAAATTTGGACTTGACCAACGGACTTGGTTTCTTTGACGCACTAAATTCGCTCAGTAAAGAATCAATCCGAGATCTATACTGAGGGTGGGCTATTCCACTTAATTGAATTAAAACACAACAATTAAAAAACAACCGAATCCGATCCGGCGTGGACTCCGTAAGATCTGAGATGCAGCGATGGCTTTTGGCGTAGATCGGCTGGATGGGTTCCGAGGGAGGGCGGCGAAGGGCAGCAGCGGTGGGTCGATCTGGGTTCCGAGCGGAGGACGGTAGCAGGGGCGGCGGAGGGCAGAAGGGGCGGCGGAGACAAGTCTTCTTCTTTTTTTCTTTTCTCTTTTTTCTTTTTTTTTTTTATTAAGAAAAGGTGATGATGGCTGAGGAAAGAAACTCCCCCAGCCAGTTGGTGGTGGTTCGAGGGGTTTTTGTTGAGAGAGAAGACAGATGGGAGAGATGAGAGAGAATAAGAGAGAGATAAGGTCAATTATAATATAGGGGTTCTAGGTACACTTAGCAAGGTGTACTTAGTGTGAGTCTCACGTGACCAAAAA